ATGGAATAATTTTGATTATAATCGATTCCTAATCAATTAAAAATCGATTAAATGTGTATGATTATAATCGATTCCTAATCAATTAAAAATCGATTAAAGGTGTATGATTATAATCGATTTTTAATCATTTCATAATCGATTTTAGTCTGATTTTTACCCTTATTTTTTTTACATGGGAAGTTCTGTTGATGAGATAAAGAGAAATATGTGGCATACACAATGAATATTCAGATTAGTTAGTGATTTGCGCTTTTCATTGTTCAATAAACGATCTCAGAAAGCATTAATCTATATTGGAACACATAAACAACTGAGCGGTGGATTCCTTTAAGTGTGAATCTAAAGGTTAACTAGTTGATAGAAAAGAAAAGATCAATTTCTTCTATTTATCGACAGCTGATATAGTTTGTTTTTCTTCAGAGACTCAAAATTGACCATATGAAATTCAGCCATATTTTATAGAGAATCGTGAGAGGAAAGAAGTCGACTATATTGAATCGTTTAGTATGGATTGTTTTTATTTATCAGGTGATCTTCTGTAGTTGAAGATATTTGATGCTGTTATGTAGCGTACAGAGTCTGTACATGAAAAAAAATAGACTGTTTTTGGAAGTGAAAAGAATCATTAGCAATGAATTCACGACTTGGGACTCTCAAAATCCGAGCAAAAAATATTAGCGAGCACGTCCTTGTCTAAATCAAAATAGGTTTGAAAGTTTTCCATCAGTAAATCTCCTTGAAATTCAAAAACAATGATCATGCTCTTAATTATTTGGTCGATGATGAACATATAGATATAGATATGCCAGTTAGATGTGAACGATAAATTCGCACATGAAATGGATAGGACTACATCCGCGTAGACAATCTAGAGCCATCAAAATAAACAGAAGAAAATGTCTTATGCAGATTGTTCGAAAACTTAATCTTTCCAATTAATTTGGTTTTTCTCAGGAACACGTGAAATTTCTTTTGATAGGATCCCGAGTTTTCGTGAAAAAAGTTGACCATTAAAATTATTTTTTTAGCTAAACGTGAAGGCTTGACAGTAATCGGATCAGCTGGTTCTGATGACAAAGTAAATTGGCTCAAAGACGAATTGTCTTTTGATCATGCATTTAACTACAAGACAGCCAATGCAAAAGCTGAACTTGCCAAATTCAAAGCACTTAACATCTACTTCGACAATGTTGGTGGTGATCAACTCGAAGCAGCTCTTGATGCAGCTGATAATTATGCTCGATTCATTGAATGTGGAATGATTTCACAATACAATGAACAGGATGCTCATGGTATTCGAAATCTTACACAAATTGTTGGCAAACGACTCAAACTTCAAGGCTTTATTATTTTTGACAAAGCACGTGATCCAACGTTTATGAACGATTTCTACTCGAAAATTCCTCAATGGATTGCCAATGGAGAGCTTAAGATCAAAGAAGATATAACAAAAGGATTGGAACGTGCTGCTGAAGCACTTATCGACATTTTTCATGGCAAGAACTTTGGAAAAGCCGTCATTCAAATTGCTGAATTATAAACAAGATTCTGTTTTTCTTTGTACGATTCATTAACATATAGATTGAATAAAATCATTTTTTATGGAAAATGAAATGTATAAAGAATTTCTCTGTAGATCAGAGTTAGAGCAATTCTTTTTCTACAACTAATGCTTTACGAAAAGGACGGGGGACGGTTTGTACACAAAACGGCCCTAAATGAAAATCCGTTTAAAACACGTTTTCCCGCAGTCGCCCATGACGCTACAACGTCTAGAAACCACCCTGACTATTTTTTAAGCATGTCAAAATTAATCACACGACAGAACCTCAAAATTTTCAACACCGAATTTCTGCTAAAATTTGCATATCGGACACATCTACCACAACTATGACAAACAACAAAAAGCCGATATTGCAACCGTAGATAGAGTTTTTCAAGAGCTACAAAACGAACTCAAAACATGTTCAAAAATATGCTGCGCTGGAGCCACGATCTTCAACACACCATTGAAAAAACCAATTTTGCTCTACTATGGTACACCAGTCCTCCACCAAGAAACATAGAAGGGTGTGGGTGTGGGTGTGGGTGTGGGTGTGGGTGTGGGTGTGGGTGTGGGTGTGGGTGTGGGTGTGGGTGCGGAAGTGCGTCCGTTTGTGGCTGTCACGAAGACCAATATCGACGGCAACGCCACTCTGTCACATCTACAACCACACCCACACCAAGCGACAATCTATTTCCAAGGATGCTCAAACGCTCATGTAGTCTCGAAATTCGCTGAAGCCTATTGAAGTATCGTGAAGTCTTGAAGAACGCTGTTTCCCACATGCCCACCGTTTTCCGGACATAAATCGCTTTAACTGTTATGATTATAGTATTCAATTTCTGCATCTGACTTTCAGATTTTAAAATTTTTGAGTAATCAAATATCCGATTGCATTGTCATTGTTCGTTGGGTAAACTCTAAACGACAGCACGCAGAAATACATGTTTCATCTATGTTTCTCCTGCTTGGAAAGCGTATTCAAAATGTTTTTTTTTGTTTGATGGAGAAAATCATGAACAGAAGCTTCTACGTAGTATTTATATCAAGTAAAATAAGTTCTCAACGCACAAGATTGTCTTCATTAGTTTCGAAAATAAAATAAAACATTTTCAATTCACTGATTATCTCAAACGATGCGATCGCATGCGCAAGTGGAACCATTGGGTATACAAAAACCAACCAAAAAATCCCGGTATTGGAACATAACATTCAAAGAATGTTTAACTCTTTTGATCGGCACCGCAATTCCTGTCGCTATTGGTATCTATGCAGCTGTTACAAATGAACAGACACAGAAATCAGCTAAACGTGCTGAAGATAAACAACAAAGTATTGCTGCTGAACGACGAATGTTTGAATTAAATGAAACTGCTGAACGACGTATATTTGATTTAAAAGAAGCTGCCGAACGGCGTGCATTTGATTTAAAACAAGCAGCTGAAGTCTATCAGCAACAGCTCTACAAAAACTTTTTAGATGCTATGTATACATTACACAGAGATGGTGAATTAAATGATTCTGCGGATCCGTGGCCATTTGCAAATGCACATTATCGTGGTGTACATCGTGAATTCGATGCTATTCGAAAAGCCCAAGCCTTAATTTTTCTGAAGGAAAAGAAATTGATTGGTCGTGAAAACTGTACAACTGGATGTGAACCGAAACTTGTCAAAGATATTATTCGTCTGAATGGATTAGGTTTTGATAATTTGAATCTAAGCAGTGAAACTGGTAATCTCAGTCGGCTAGATTTGAGCTGTGTTGTATTCGATCGAATTTCAATGATAAATAGCATTTTTTCTTATGCTAATCTGAATGGTGTAATATTTAGAAACTCACGATTAAATGGTGCAACATTTAGAGATAGCTCTTTAAATTGTTCTAAAATTATCGATACAGAATTACACGGAACAAATTTTTATAATTCAAATTTAAATGATGCACTATTTAATAATGTCGATTTGTCGACAGCAGTATTAACACAGACGCAAATACAGGGGGCACACTTTGAGAATGTAATTTTGCCGAATGGAACTAGAATTTCGTCTACGACAACAATGACGTCGATAATAACTGAAGGTACTTACAGAGTATTTTAAAGTTTCATGAAACTGAAGATAAATCTTCTCATTCATTTTAGAAAGAAAAACAACTGAAGCAACAACTGAAGCAACAACAGAAATAAAGACAACTGAAGCAACAACAGAAATAAAGACAACTGAAGCAACAACCATAAAAATAACAAGAGGTAAGCTCTATTACAAGAAAAAGGTGTCTAATATCGGATGCCAATAAGTTTTAGTTAACAGGCATTCAAGAGCGCAATTGACATCAGGGAATACAGAGTACAGCTTTGTTAGTGTTGCATGACAATCGACCAAAGACCGCGTTTTTAGTTGCTAAGAGTATTTTATATCTTTGCATCCCAATTCAATCCATTTGATTGCGTATAAGGCAATACATATCTATTTCTTAGATTTCTATTACAATTTATGGCCCCAAAGTACGAGGTCGCGTTGCTATCAAAAACGTCAAACTTGAACCTTGAATTCAAGTTTCAAGTCATATATAAAGAGTGTACCAGAAATCACCTATCAAAAAGAAAACTGTATGACCCCACTGTATTCTGATTAAATGAGCTGCTTATTTACTTGATGATACAGAAAACCTCGCAGTTTTTATTCATAGAGCAGCAGCCGCTTATTAATACGCTTAAAATGTAGCATCGCCTATTTCAGTACGGAAGTTGATCTTTTTGTGCCGATCCTTCTATCAGTAGTCTGCCACAAAAGCTAGCAGCGTCTCCGAAAAATGATTCGCAGCTCCTGTTTTGTAGAGCTTTTTCAGTTGATCATTTTCGTAAAAGAATTTTTCTATTTTCAGCAAGAAATGACGGTACTAGAGTGAAAATACTAGAAAACGTCGTATTGTTGCAGTCAGAGCTATTTAATGTTTTCTAGTATTTTGACGTTAATAACGTTATTTCTTGATGAAAATAGAGATTTATTTTGACCATAACAATCAGTCAAAAAATGCATAGTTTTAAATAAGAAAATTTTGTGGAACTCACATATATTTTCGAAGAAAATGGTGAGTGTAAGTTTAAAAGCGAGATTTTTGCGGCTTCCCACCCTCCCTCCCCATTACAGACATCACCCTCCATTACAGACCCCATCCCCTTACACCCCCTTAGAGACCCCCTTACACCCACTTACAGACACCACCTTCCATTACAGATATTAGCAAGCATGCAAAAACTAAATAAGACATTTTTTTTCTACCGATCGATTTTCTTGCAGCAAATTTCGCACCACACATTAGGTATAAGTAAATTAAGCGAAAAATCATATGGGAGTTCCACATTTTAGCCCCAAAGGGGCTGCGCTAACAAGCTTTTTGAATCATTTTCTGGATGTAGAAGTTCAATTAAAATTCATTTTCGAACTGTATTTTACTTTTGTATAGTACATTGAACTGTCACATATATTTTACTAATGTTTTAACACCCATTTTTATATGACTTTATTTCTTCTCATCGATGATAAATGCAAACGAATCGCCAAGAAAGAACAGGAGGACAATCAGACTATAGAATAACTATTTTTCAAAAAAACATACAAATGAATCGAAATGAAATTATCAATCTTTTTTTCTGATGAACAAAAAATAAAAATCTCACTTTAATTATTTCATAAGAGAAAAATAGAATATAACTTATTATGACATATTTGCTGGATGAATAAATGGAACAAATCTGTTATATACGTTTGAATAAAAAATGTTTATATATAGTGATCGCATATTACTATCTTACAAAATTTTATTTCTGTTATGTATGCTCAAGTTGTGTAGGCTTTTATTGATAGATTACACTTTATTGTTATTTTAATTATTATGTGATGCAAAGTATTTAGACGAATACCGAACTATTGTTTTCAACATTCTGAAATTGAAGTGGCTCTAATATTTTTCATGCCAAAGACTAAACTTTGCACACTAACTGCATCAGACAAGATCAACAAAGCCGATTTTTCATGAAGATTTTTTTTTTCATATCTTTTTCTCCAAAACAATAATCTATGGTAGATTGGAAATATCAATTTATCCGCGCTTGCATCTACCATTCAAGGCTAAAATGGTCGAATAGAACACTTTTTTAGTTGTTTTCAATGCAGTCACAAAGATATGCCTAACCAATTTTTTTCTTGTATGTTATTACGTCATACAAAACTTGATTGGGAAACTAATAATTTCTCTGAGACTCCCTCTTATTCTACTAGATCAGGAAGGAATAATTCAGAAACAGATGCAATGATTCGATTACTTTTCATCGAGTTTTATGGAAACCAATAGTTTTCCCAAAATCTAGCTCATCTGAAGTGAAACCAAAAAGCAATTCTTCGTTATACTCCATAACCTTCGAACTAGTTGTATTCCTAATCAAAACTAAATAAAACTCAATCATTATCCAAGAATTTCGCTTTCAGTACAAACCCTCGCTTCTTTACTTTAAATTCCTATCTCGTAGAGTTCTTAGAATTTATAAAACAATTCTCATTGTGGGGTTGCAGGCAAAAATCCTCTGAAACTTTCTCATGTGTTACTTTCATGAGAATCTTCTTGAATTCACAAAAACCAACTAGGATGTTGCTCCTATTCCTTAGAAGATGCGCAGGGGATTCTCAATCTAGTTCTAGTTCCAAATTAGATGATTTCAACAATGGATATTGTTACCGTTAGGTTTCACCATATCACACCCACTAGATTAGCAAAGATTTTTCGAGATTTCTTTTCACATTTTCCATGTCGACTTTTCTCATTGTACCGGGTGAGAGAGAGAGAGAGATGATGAAGATCTCCTTTGTTTATTATAGTTATGCTCAATATTTCTGTGAATGCCACATGGTCAAAGAATGGGACGACTATTGCTGGAGGCAACGAAAGTGGCGGAGCTACCAATCAACTCAATGTCCCTCATAGTCTCTCTGTTGATGATGATCAAACAGTGTTTGTTGCTGACACGTGGAACCATCGTATCATCCAATGGAAGCAAGGTGCTACGGATGGACAAGTTGTTGCTGGTGGCAATGGCCAAGGAAATCGATTGGATCAATTGAATGTACCAACTGATGTATTGATCGACAAAGAGACGGATAGTCTCATTATTTGCGATCAATACAATCGACGAGTTGTACGATGGTCTCGCCGCAATGGCACCACACAAGGAGAAATTCTTATCACTAACATCGGATGCTGGGGATTGGCTATGGATGATCAGAAATATCTTTACAGTACTAACGGCGACAAATATGAAGTTAGACAATATCGCATAGGAGATGGAAATGAAACTCTTGTTGATGGTGGAAATGGAACCATCGTTGCCGGTGGATATGGCAACGGTTCTGGTCTAAATCAAATCCATGGACTGACTTACATCTGTGTTGATCAGCAACAAAATATTTATGTAGCAGAGGGCGGCAATTCCCGTGTCACGAAATGGATGAAAGATGCAAAAGAAGGTGTCGTTGTCGCTGGAGGCCAAGGATATGGGAGCGCCCCGACACAATTAGGTACGCCTCGAGGAATATTCGTCGATGCGTTGGGTACACTCTATGTGGTAGACTTGAATTATGATCGAGTGTCACGTTGGCCTCAAGGAGTGAAACAGAGCACTGTGATTGCGGGTGGAAATGGCCAAGGAGCAGGAGAAAATCAGTTATACTGGCCCACTGGATTGTCCTTCGATCAACATGGTAATCTTTATGTTGCCGATCGTATAAATCATCGTATTCAACGATTTTCTCTTGAATAGACTCGTGAAAGATATTTGAACTATTCCTTTTTCTAATGCTTCTCTTACTTGCAAATAAATGAAAACACCATTTTCTTCTTCGTTTTCACATTATTATCTCTCTCTATCTCTCTCTCTATCTCTCTATCTCTCTCTATCTCTCTCTATCTCTCTCTCTATCTCTCTATCTATCTCTCTCTCTATCTCTCTCTCTATCTCTCTCTCTCTATCTCTCTCTCTCTCGAAATAAAACATCGATATGAAATTTTAATGCTTCATTTTTTCTTAAGCTCGTTTGATATTTCCTCGACTGTAGGAAGGGTCATATGAAAAAAAAGAACTTGTGGGTGAATTTGTGTAAGTTCAAAAAAAACATATAGCAGAGTTTAACTTTCTGTTAGACTTTTCAGTCTTTTAATCAAACTTTGATGTAGGTTATCGGGGGGCTGGGAATCCGAATCCGTGATCAGTTCTTTTTGAAATATCTATTTCTAGTTTTCTTAGAACAAAGAAAGACTTATTTAGGAAAAAAATGAGTTTTTATAAAATTTGACCAAAGGTACTTAATCGGGTCGGGGTCGATGAATTCGAATCCGTGATTAATTTTTTGAAATAAAAATCTCTCAATGTGAGAACTAAAGCGCAACTTTAGCAGTTCTGTTTGACTCTGAAACTTGAATCATAAGGAAACGCTCATGAGGAAATGATTGATTCTGTATATATTATTGAGTAACATGGGTGTGAGTGTGAGGGCGGGTGTAGAAAAGACTATACTCAACACCCACACCCCATCCTTCATAATATCATCAACATTAACTTGATCATGCATATAAAGGTCACATTTTTGTCCTCCATAGCTTATACATAGTTCTTCATCCTGGTTTAGAGAATGTGCTGCGAAGAACACAAGATCACCCATCTGAAACTTCGTTCCATCTTCTTCAATTAGGGAACGATCACCGCTTGGTGAGCAGGAGTGATTAAAGAAAACAGCAGATGGATACACTCCCATGGCATACATTTGAGGTGCTTGAGAGTAACCATCGAACGTAAAAGTACTATGAAAGAATCCGTTGATTTCTTCTATACAAATAAGGATGTACACTTTATGCAGTAGATATTTTAATATTTCGACAATGGCGACATCATCGGAGAGTGAACAAGAACGAGTCATTTCAGTTACCCATTGATCAGAATCGACAATTTCGACTTTCTTAGCATCTGCATTATCTGGCAAGAAGCATTGAATGAATCTAATAAATTCATGATTATCTTCGGTTAAACGAGGAATGAGTCACGTTAATCTATATTTCGTTAGCATTTTGGCTACAGTTCCAAATTCAGATTTCTTCTCCCTTGGAAAGTCATCGAAATGTGATAACATCATAAAAACATCTTCAAGTAAAACATTATGTGGCTTGTCTAAAAGATCGTGTAATCGCTGAGTAAGCATGCGCATAACAAGTCGAGCATAATTAATAACATATTCGTTGTAATTATCATCTTGTAAGGCGAATACTTCATCGAGAAATGAACATTCGTACTGGTGAAATTTGCCCCAATGCTGTCGTTCACATTTATCCGAACAGTAAAATATATCAAGACAACCCTGACGGGATGCAGTCATCTCCCTTGTACTCGTTCGCTCTTTTGAAATATGCATACAATTTGCACATACGTAATTCTTTTTCGTCACGGATGGAATGAGAGCATATGGTTTTGATACCAGTAGAACGTCGCCTTGTGAGACATCATGATTTGTAATCAAGTAACGTCCTTTCTATACTGTGTAGATAACACTCACTTTGCTTTCGGTCATGAATCGTTCTGACTAAAGAAAAAGTCGAATCAGCAAAGCTCTTCAAAATTATTTTTATGACGAGAGAAAAGAAAATGTTTTTTTTTTGTACTTTACACTTTTCTTTATTGTTGCAACAAGAGAACAGAGCATGTGTGAGAAGCTTTACTCATGCCAGAAAAAAATCTTTTCTGTAACTAAACAGACAAAAAACATCATCCAGTGAGTCTCCTAAAGATTTGAAACAATAGCTAAAAACTCATCCTACCTCTTCTTGTGAACATTCTTTTTTCATTGAAAATTTTTGGTTCTATCAATTCTTTAAAAAATCAATGTCAAAACAATTAAATCTTTCTAAAAAGTTGACTTTTTAAACAAATGATTTTTGGAACAATAACGAAAAATTCTCGAATACTTAAATGCGGAATGTTCCTCTTCGTCGTCGAGACGTAACATTTCAGCGACTTTTAGTAAAAAAAACGTGTCTATGGAAGTCTTTTTCTTCTGATCATCGTCAGAAATCTTGCAAAACGACTATAAATATTATTGAAAGATGTTATACGATGGGCGAAAACTTCAAAAACTAGAAGAAATGATCAATCGACTACAGACTTTCAAGCTTATACCAAAATCAGAAAATCTCTGTTACGACATTATTCTCAATCCTTCTTTTGCTAGATTCGTTGTTTAGTCATCACCATCATCTTTGATTAGTGAATGAACTTGTTAAAAAGGAACTTTGATGACAGTGAATTCAAACAATTCCATTCGAAATATATATTTAAGCCTATGTTTTCACATTATTCTGAATCAATTCACTTGAATTTATTATCATCTAAGTGTAGCGTAAAAGTTTAGGTATCGTACTCATACTGCATATGAATATGTATAATCTGATATAAAGTGATCAAAATATTGAAATGATAAGAAATGAAAGATTGATAGAGCAGAATAAAAACTGAACGCTACTGATTGAATAGATCTTTATTTCAACACTAGTAAGTTGCTGGTAATTCAAAATTACAGCACCTCTTAGTTTTTGCTCAAATGTATATCATTAGATTCACCCTTTCAAGCTGATCACGAATATCTACTTAGTTTTTCATTTTGGCAATACCTTCATGGAGAAAAACGTCAGATACCCATGGGTATCTTGAGGGTGTGGATGTTGAGTATAGTCTTTTCTACACCCACACCCACCCTGAACATTATATCTTTGTTTCTTGTTGGAAAATAGTCTACGATAGTCTTAATTAAAACCTAGCAACGAGACTTATATAACACAGAGCTTGTCAACACTTTGCTACCAATGCCACCAAACTAGAGATTGTGAAATAATAAAACTATATTAGAATTTTTAGTCGAAAACAGACAAGTGAGAAAAGAAGTGTTAATATCAATCCTGCTAACACAAGAAAAAGGAAAAACTGTGATGAAAAAAAGCGCAATTTCCAGATTTTTCTTCGCGCTCAATTCTCTCATACTTTTGAGATAATAGCTTCGCTGCTCTAATCGCAAAATTATCTTGATGAATGCATACGGAAAAGCGTATTTGAATCTAAATGAGTTTCTAATTAAAAGCATAAAATTAATGTTGTTGCTAAGATGTGCTCTCAGGACTTGTAGATTAGAAGAGTTGTTTATGGAAAATAAGTAATCTTTACACTTGAGCAGCGTAGATCATACGTTTTCCATGACATATTTACTAAGCTTCATAATCAAACTATAAAGCCTGCTCAAATTGATTTATAATCCTTGAGGAAAAATATGGGTGCGAATAAGCTACCATTATCTAGATTTCATCCCGACTAAAGGAATCATCAGATGGCTTAAATTATCTTGAATTATTCTTAATCGAAAATTCAAAACAAATTTTATCTTCAAGAAGTTACAAAATTATATAAAATAAAATTGTAATAGAAGATTCAATTCACAAATCATTATTCTCGTGGTGATTGGTGTTGAATGAATGATAGTACTGTTGTTTGGTTGGGTTTGTTTGATTTTTTTAAAAATTTTTCTCCGTTGGTTAAGTAATGCTGTTGTTGCGGTTGATATAAGGAGTAACATTGTTTTATTCCAA